AAACCCACCAAAAAGGAAAAAGCGCGAGCCAGCCCATGGCTTGGGGGTTATGGGAGCTGGAGCTCACCCAGCCGACTGAACAGTTCAAGTCCCAAACCCGGCACCTTGAGAAACACACTGAGCGTGTAGACACAAATATCCAAAATCCTAACAGGAGGGTGGAGAAGAGACTACAACAGGGCCATGCCTGGGGCGGCGGGGGTGTGTGGGGGCATTCTCTCTTCTCCTTTGCAAGGGCGTGCACCCTGTAGCAAAAGGAAGTATGAATTGATTCTGGTGCAAACTGGTCCGAATACAGCACTGTGACACAGCTGTGCAGTCGTGGCATGCTACACAGTTTCAAGCACATTTTGAAGACTGTTCAAAGACATGCCGTGGGAGCTGGGTGGAGCCGCAGCCCTGTCTGGAGGAGACCACCTGGGTGGGCCTGGTGGAAGTGGGGCACCTACAGGAGGGTGAGGAGCACCTTAAGAGAACTGCTAGTAGTAGAGAATCCCTCTTCTCTTCTTTTACTCCCCTCTTTCACTATCAAGTTATCTTTAAAAAAAATTTTAAGAGAGATTTCTGCTATAGGGCACCTGTGCTCCCCGGAAAGACAAAGAGACAGAGAGACAGAAAGTGAGAAATCACCTCCCAGAGGTGATGGCCACGCCCCTCCACTCTCCTCTCGGGATCTTGGGCATGCACATACACACACCTGGGGTGTTCCTCCCCCCAAAAATTTATTTATTTATTTAATTCCATTTGTTATTATTTTAAATTTGATCAGAGATAGAGAGAAAAAGGGAAAGTGAGAAAGCAAGCTGCCAGGTCCAGCACTCAAACTGCAGTCGGCTCTGTAGGAGTCCAACACCTCTAACTACACCACCACCTGCTGGCCCCCGCCTGGAGTGAGTTTAAGCCACTGGGTCTGGGACTCAAACCACAGTTGACTACATGGGAGTCCAGCAATGTAACCATATCCATACGCCATCTGCTGGTCCCTGAGGTTCTTTTATTGTGTGTGGAATTTTTAAAATTTAAATGTATTTATTCACATTCACGCACTGTACCTGAGGTACCGTTAAGACTGTAAAACTGGTGTGGGTCCTACAGTGCATCAGTCAGCCCAGAAGGCTGGTCCCACAGTGGGAGCTGGAAAAGTAGGCGGGGCAATGGAGGCGTGTGGGTTGCGGCAGCCAGGTCGCACACGGCCAGCTGTGAAGTTCAAGTCCTAAGCCCAGTGGGTTGAGAATCATGCCAGACCAGGTGCATGCGTGCCTGCATCCGAGGGGAGAGCGGAGAGAGGACTGTGTTTGGGCTATACCTCTCTGGGGTTATTTCTCATTCTCTCTCTCCGGCAAGTGCACATACTCCATAGCGAAACTTGGAAAAAAAAAAAAAAAAAGAGGAACCAGCAGATGGCGTAATGGTTACATTGCTCGACTCCCACATAGTCAACTGTGGTCTGAGTCCTGGACCCAGGGGCTTAAAAGTCATGCCAGGCGCGCGTGTGTGTGTGCCCAAAATCCTGAGAGAAAGGGGAGAAGGGACTGCAGCAGGGCCATGGCCCCCCGGGGGTGATTTCTCGCTCTCTGTCTCTCTCACTCTGGTGAACACATGCCCCTTATAGCAAAACCCTCTCTAAACAAAAAAAAAATTAGAAAAAAGTCAAAGCAAGGCACGCTGGGTGCCTGTGTGTGTGTGCCTGTCCCGACCCCAGGGGTACGGAGAGCTGGAGAGAGGGCTGTGGTGCAGTACCCCAGCTTCTCTCTGCCCACATGCGCCCTCCAGCAATTAAAAACGAGGCCAGCCCTGTGGCCTGGTGGTTAAGGGAACCAGATCTACCACGCTGACGACAGCTCCAATCCTGGCCACTTGAGCAATGCACCAGGCGCATGTGCACGCATGCCAGAACTGTGGCAGAGAGCAGGAACGGAGTGGGCTGCACTGTGAGCATGCCCGTGGGGGCTGCTCTGTCTCCAGGACTCCCTTTGGTGAGTGTGTGTGTCCTACGGCAACTTAAAAATAAATAAATAAATAAAAAGACTGGCCCTGCTGTCTCACAGTGGACCAACTGCACACTGCATGACCTGGGTGAGATTCTGCATCCCTGAAGGTGAGCTTTGGGAAATGTCATCTCTGTAAAGCTGGAATCCTAGAAGCCTTTACATGTGTCCAGGACTGAGAAAACGAATACGACTTCGGGGTTCATGTCACTGGAGGGCATGGCTGTGCACGTGCTGGGGGTGGGGGTGGCAGAACCCAGGTGACGCTTGGAGGACCCTGCTCAAGGACGTGGCCCTGGGCCTACTGCAGGCCGGTGCCTGGAGTTAGTGGGAACCCCCCCCCCCAGGATCTCCCTATTGTGATCCCTGACTCCTTTCGTACTAAATATACAAAAGCTTTATAATTAAAAAAAAAAATTGTAGAATGGGGGAAGGAGAGGGGCAGGGAGAGAACTGGGAAGGCAGGTCTTAGAGCGCCCTGAATGCCAGGCAAGGCACTTGGGTCAGCAGAGAGAACGAAGAACTGTGCTCTCATTTAAAATATTCTTAATGGGCCAGCAGGTGTGCAGGGGTTAAGGTGCTGGACTCCCACATGGTTGACCGCAGTTCAAGTCCTGGATATGGCAGCTTAAAACTCACACTGAGCAGGTGTGCATGCCTAACATCCCGAGAGGAGAATGGAGGGGAAGGGACTGGAGCGTGGCCATCCCCCTGGTGGGCGATTTCTCGCTTTCTGTCTATCTCTCCTGTGTGCACATGAGCCCTATAGCAAAAACCTCTCTCCAAAAGAAAAAAATACTTTTTAAATAATAAAAGTTAACACAGACTTAACTTTGTCAGAATTAGAACTGAGGCTGTGAGGCAGACCCCTCTGGCAGGGCTAGGTGACAGCCCTGGGGGCCGTGCTGGACTGGGGCAGGGAGCCTGGGGCAGCAGTCAGGTGGAAGCTGCAGAGGTCGGAATCAGGCCTGGACTGCTGGCGGACGCAGAGACAGTGGGGATGTCCTAGGAGTGCGGGTGTGAGCCTGACTGTGTCCTGAGGAAGCGACCTTCCTGGGCCCTCGTTCCTCATCAGGAACGGGGATGCCCACCTACTACTGGGGTATTGAAGGGACTAGGGCGAGGGTCTGGGCGGGCACCCTGCAGAGCCAGGCTCAAAGCTGGCAGGGAGGTACGGACACAGCAGGCACAAGCTTCCCAGAACCACCCACTCTGTCTCTGATGGATTATGAGCTTGGGGGAGGCAGAGGGCTCGTCTTGTCCCCCAGGCCCCTCAGCACCCAGGACATGGCAATGTGGGCCTGCTGGAAGCTAAAGACCACGGTGCTGCAATGAGGTGTCCCTTCTCGCATCCCTCAGGTGGGCTTCGCACATGTGACGAGCAAGCACTGGTACCCATGGCGGCCACGAGCCAAGCCGGCCGAGCGTGCAGCAGCATCGACGTTGGCAGTCTGTGTTCTTGGGTCCGCAGAGAAGCATGGCCCCTGACCGCCTGTACGGCTTCGCAGGGGCGGGGGCAGGGCACTCCCAGGACGCCTATGCCACAGTCATGCTGCGTGGTGCATGCCGGCACCAGAGCAGGTCTCCTCTCTGCCACCCCCAGCCAGCATCCCGAGCTGGGATCCACGTGGCTGGTCCCTGAGTGCTCAAAGCCCAGGAGTCTCGGATCCCACACACCACCCCGTCACAGAGCCCTGTCCACCCAGGCCCCGCGAAGATGTGAGCAGCTCCCACCTCTAGTAGTGTGGTGAGGCAACAGGAGCCAGCATCCACCCTAGCTCACACCGGGTACCTCTGTGAAGGGAAATCAGGGTGGCGGCGCCCTGCCGGGTTCTCAGGGAGCTGGGATGGCTCCGGATGCCCTACTCCGAGTCAAGCACCAGCCCCTCCCACTGCACAGTGCCGCCAGTGAGCCGACTGCAGCTGAGCCCACCCCCACGTGCAGTCCTATCCCCAGGCAGCCTGTCCATTCTGCCAGCGCAGAAAGTCACAGTCGAGGGCCCTCCACCG